CAACTCACAGGAAAGCATAAGCCAGGATACCAGTTTGTATAATATATAACGGGAAATAGAACTGTCACCTAGACGGAACTTTCCAAACATTTTTCTTCCACTTTTACTACCTGTACAGGCAGCATTTCCATGGGCCATGGGCTGCACTTTATGGCCTGTGTCTACTCTGTGACAATGACTTTTATCACCCATCCTGCCAGTAACCCTCCGAGGTTGACTTCTACTACTCATTCATTTATTCTTAAGTCATCTTGTTGCTAGATTCTCCAGGTAGCTGGCTGCTTCCCCCTCTGAATTGCACTCATGTTGCACCTTTTATTTCTGGTCCAAACAGTGCATGAGATCCGGTGGGTAAAAGGGGAGCTCTGGATCCCTCGATCTCATGTTATCAGCCCCATCTCCAGACTCTGCTCTCCAGGCTCGGGGCTCTTCTCCAAAACCTGCCTATTGTTTTGAAGAGCTACCTTCTCATTTAAACAGAATCAAGAGCTTCAGGTCAGGTGGTGGCTCCTGGCAACCACCAAGGCCAGTGTACCTGTGTTACCATGTTATACAGAATATGTAAAATTCTGTGCTTGTTCTAATTTCAAAAGACCCTGGCACATGTTTAGTTGCATCCTAGCACTGCAGAGCAGGGAAGAAAGCAGCGGTTTTCACTATAGGAAGAAGAATCAAGAAGAAAAACAACTGTGGCTTTCTCGCTTCCGTACGAAGAGGCTCAGCTCCGAAACAGTTTGTTCATCTCTTAGTCAAGGTGCTTGGGACTTTCCCAGAAAGATTCCCTTCTTCCCATGGGTCGTGAGAGTGGCTGGGTGGGGTGGATGCCTGGTGGGATAGCCGGGGCCTCCTGGGACAAGGCAAAGTGAGGAACAAACCAGAGCAGCTCCACCGTTTGCTTAAGACTGAAAACCTTTCTAGGACTTTATGCATAAAAACAAAGGTTAGTCTTGCTGGCATTTTCAGAAAGACCAGGTAAGGAGTCAGTCATTTGGAGATAGGAAACATTTTTCAGAGCCCCGGCAGTTTCAAGTAGCACATCCAAAGAAGAGTTTGTTGTTTTATGTGGAATTGTTTGATTTGCAGATGCAGCATCTGGGGAGCCTTAGCAACATGTTGGGCATGGTGCATACTCCCGGGAGTACAGTCATCTCTCTAAAAGATTTTTTATCTCACTGTGTGTTCACCACCCAAAGTCAGGTCTCCTTCCGTCACCATACATTTGACCCCCTTTACCTTCTTCTGCCTCCCCCGACTCTCCTTTCCCTCTCACAACCACCATACTGTTGTCTGTGTCTGTGAGTTTTTGTTTGTCTTGTTCATTCATTTGTTGCTTTCAGTTTTATATCCCACATATGAGTGAAATCATATGGTTCTTGGCTTTTTCCATCTGACTTATTTCGCTTAGCATGATATTTTTTTAAATTAATTTTATTGGTTTGTAAAATTATATAGGTTTCAAGTGTACAATTCAATAATACGTCATATGTAT